AATGCTATATATGCTTTCAGCAATTTAGTTAGTAGTTTAATTTTTTTTTTTTGGTACTGGGGATTGAACTCAGGACCTGTGGTTGTGAGGCTGGTGGTGGAACCAGTGAGCTAAATCCCCGGCCCTAAAATTTTTTAAAATTTTAATTTAAGAAAAATTTTAAATTAAGAAAATTTGGAAGCTACTCAAGTATTCAGATGATTGGATTCAACCACCGAGTTATGATTTTCAACATTTTCAAAGTTTTGATGCCTTACTCTGCTTTAATATTTCTGCTATATTCCTGTTCTACCTTTACCCTTCAGTGCTGTATGGGTTGGAAAAAAAAAAGTAGGACTGGGAATTGTAACATGGAGAAAAATTGCCTTTAAAAAAAATGAAAAAACAATTCTTTTAACATTGCTGGAAACATTGTATGTGATGTTACAGTATGTAAATAAATTTATATCGATGGTATATTTATTGGAGAATACATTTGAAAGACTAGAATATAATTTGATCAAGTAACAGTCTTCTCCAGATGCTGTGGGCATGATTAACTAGCAACTCAGATTTTTCATTCTTCTGGTCATATGGTGATCTTTTTAGAATGATGACTTTGAATGAAAGTAGAGAAAGCTCAATATTCATATACTGTATATGGGAACTTCTACCAAGTTTTTCAGCTTGCCAAGATCACTGAGATTAAAACCTCTACTGAGACACACTGGAATTGTTAGTCTGTTTAGTAATCAGACGGGACTTAACTTTTTATAGTCTCTATAAAACATTCAAGTAATTGCATAGATTCCATTCATATACAGCCAGTTCCCAAATGGCAGGCTGTATCACAGAGTAACAGCAATTCTGGGAAGAATTTAACTAGTTGCTTTATACCAAGGGATGAAGATCCCAAAGAAGGGTGCTTTTCAGTGGGTTCAGATGAAATGTTATTGATCTCATCCTGGTTCAGATCTCTGCCTTTGTTTTGGAAAGGATTTCTCTATCCCTCCTCTACCCCTCCCCACCCAAGACTCAGAGGGAGCCAATAGTGGAGGCCTCCGAGCGTTCTCCTCAGTCCCTTGTGAAACCTTGGCAGCAGTTACCAAATCAGGATTTGCTTCGGAATCCTCCGGGCGTACTTGTAAAGCCCTCAGGTCTCAGGTTTTACTTAATTTGATTAAAATCTTTCTAGCTGTGAAGAATATAATGGAAGAATAACCAGAAACTACTTACTCATTTATTCAGCAAATATTTTTGAATTGAAAACGTATCTGCTATGTGCCTGGTCATGTATACGGTACTGAAGATTCAGGTGTAATAGAACGGAGTTTTTGGGAAATTTACATGTAGTCTTGTGGGAATTTAGTGGGAAAGATTCTGTGGCATAGAAAAAGGAAAATTAACTTTGCTCATGGGGCTCAAAGAAGTGGTCAGGGACAGGAGTTGGCTGGGCAGAGACACTAGCCTATGCATGGTATGGTGAGATGAGAGAAACCAGTAGAAATTCATGTGCATGTGGGAAATGAGAAGACACAAAGTGAAAGTGACTATAAGTGGTAAAGGAACAACACAAAAAAATTTCCTGGAATGAAAGATCTGAGTTCAAGATTGAAACAATTCATTGAGCATCCTATCAGTGAATAAGAAAGGCTCACCCCTAAGCATAGCCAATAAAATTCAGGATTCCAGGGATGAATAGAAAATAAAAATGTAGTCCTAAAAGCTTACAGAGAGAAAAAAAATAATGTAAAAAGGATATGAGTAATCAGAGTAGCATCAGATTACTCAGTAGGCTTATTAGAATCTAGAAGGGAAGCCATGCTTTCAAAGTTATCTGGAAAATAATTTCCTACCTAGAATTATATACCCTCCCAGGCTACCAATTGAGACATTTTAACACTCACAGATTCTCAAAACATATTCCATGTACTTTGTCCAGACAGTTCATGGAGATTGTGTTGTCAAACTACAGGAAAAAAACAAGAAAGAGAAAATAGAAAATCCAAGAATAGGGTTTCCCTCAGAGGAAAAAGGTGAAGGGAATTTTTAAATGGTAACAAAGGGAAGTCCAAGTCCAACTGAGGCCCAGCAACCATTCCAGATCAGGATGAAGTATGTAGAAATGTCTCTAAGAAAAAAACCAGAACCTCCCTTTGGGAAAAAAAAAGTGGCGGGGGTGGGGGGGGGCATGATGTTTTTATTTTACCCAAGGACTAATAAAAAACTAAGCAAGCAACAATGACAGCAAAAAACAATTGATAACACTAGGAGAAACAAAATTGGGCCAGGGATTTAGCTCAGTGGTGCTGTTGCCTGCCTCGCATGTGCAAGGTCCTGAGTTCAATCCCCGGTACTGAAAAAGAAAAAAAAAAAGGAGAAACAAAATTACCCAGGAAAGAAATATAATCATTAAATTCTACATGGCACAGCTGGAAATAGTATTTACTTTGTCAGACTATAAACACTAAATGCGTATGTATTGACTTTAACCGAATGTTACAATATGATCAGAAATGGAAGATGAACAAATATGACATATGCATGGAGGTGAAGCATAGTATATGAAAATTAAATCCTTATGTTTCACAAGGACAATTTAATATGTAATATCTAAAATGGAAAATAATCAAGAAACCACACTGTAAGCACATTATTTAGAAATGTGGAGTTAAATACCTGAAGGAAATGTTAAAGGAGTTGAAATTAGTTGCCTCTGGAGAGTGTGAATTGAGTGTGAGGAACAGTGGGATAGGGGGCTTATGTTTTGTATTATATGCTTTATGGTCCTATTTTTTAAAAAAAATTTTTATTTTTAAATATTTATTTATTTATTTATTTTTCTGCATTGAGAATTCAACCTAGGGCCTTTGCACTAAGTTACATCCCTACCCCCAGCGCTTTTTTATTTTTAATTTTGAGACAGGATCTCTCTATGTTGCTAAATTGCCCAGGACGGGCTCAAAGTAGTGATCTTTCTTCCTTGGCCTTGCCAGAGTGTTGGGATTATTTTTTATACTTGGATAAAATTAATAAAATGTAGGCCTAACATCTGTAATGCTGGGAAAGCCTTACATATGATGTTTTGCGTTTTGTTAAGTGAATTTTTTAGTTTGTGTATACTATGTGCCGATTTTGGCACATTACTAAATTTTATCCAGTTGTTCTTTTTTCTCCAATTAACTGAGTATCAACTGTAGAAAAATTTGTAAGGTAATTGTTGTTTCAAATATATTTGTAGCCTCTGTCAGATACATGTTTCTCCCAACCCCCTGTATTTTAATGTCGAGTCTCTATCTTCTGAACTTGAGGGTAAATAATCAACCTTTCTCTTTCTTGCCTTCTCCCCAAAGAAACCAACGGTTCTTCAGTGACCTAAAGTACCTAAAATAGGACAGCATCAGCTGCACATTAGGATCTTTGATGATGACAGCATCATTCGGCAAAGCCTCAGCTGGTTTTGGAGATTTTGTGAATATATGTTGATATAAACTTCTTTTACCACACTGCTTTCTGTTTCTCAGTCTGGTGTGTTGCTCCCCAACACAGACACGCATACACACACACACACACACACACACACACACACACTTTTTTTTGAGGAGGGCAAGGATGGTGCTTGAGCCATTTGAAAGTATGTTGTTGTACATATCATACTTTAATATATCTACATTATCTCCCAAGAACAAGGACATCTTCCTACAAAAAAATACCATTATTTGTCATGGATAAAATAATATTGTCTAGGGCCGGGAACTTAGCTCAATGGTTCTGCTGCCTGCCTTGCAAGCGCAAGGACCAGAGTTTGATTCCCGATACCAAAAAAAAAAAAAAAAAAAATTGTCTAATGCAGTTACTATTTAGATTTTCCTAAAATCCCAGTGATATTTTTCTATAGTTTTAGTTATAGAACCTAATCAGTCATGACACATTGCATTTAATCATCATATTTCTTTCAGTTCTTATGTTAAGGTGTCTCCCTGCACTTATTTTTTTTCCTGCATTCTTTAAAAAATCTTTCACGATACTGACAGTCATGAGGAGCTCAGGTCAGTTGTTTATAGAATGTCTTGCATATGTGGGTTTGTATATAATTTTGGCAAGAATATGTATACAAGCTTGTTTACCCACTGTTTTAGCTTTTAATGCAGGTTTGAAATTTTAGTCCATTGTTTTCTTTTTTTTTCCCTGTTAATCTGTGGTTTGATACAGAGTATTGAGAATGGCCTCTTACCTGGAGAACAGTAAGACTTCTTAAACCACAGAAACTATCATTGTAATATCTCTGGGAGGGGTAATCTGTTCCTCTGGAAACAGGCACAATATTTTTTTAAATATCCTTGGCAGTGTTTGTTGGATGACTTAATATATTGTAATCAAGGGCAAATTTTCTACTCTTTAATTAAAGTTCTGCTACGGTATACAGAACAGGGAGCCACTTTTGGAAGAATACTTGGCCAGCTTTTCTATCATCCTCGAGCTGAAAGTTTGTTTTTCGAGTCTAAACTCTGGATGTGTGTTCAGTGTGCAACATTTTGGCTGAGCTGATGCCAGGATGCTCGGCGGCTTAGGTTATGTATATTTTGTGTGAAGTGAGTACAGCATAGAGAGATGGCATGCCGTACATGCCAGAAGAGCTATGCAAGCTCGCTGTTGAAAGCATGCTTCCCATTTGTCAGGGGTTCCTGATAGCAGACCTGGTGACACAGTATCCTTTAGGCAGAGCTCCTCAGAAGGTGTAGGAAGTGCTGCTACAGGTTTTGTCCCTGGGAAATCCGAGCCATTTCCCCTTGGACAGCTGGATTTCAAAGCCCAAGCAAGTTGCTGTTAAATTTGGCACAGGCTGCCTGCCTGCGTGAGTGTTTTCATTTCCATTTGTTTGTCTTGGTTTTCTTCTTCCTAAGTCATCATGATCTTTCTAAAAGTTTCATGAGACTTGTTGTACATTATCTAAAGTAGGATTCAAAGGATTCTTTGTCAGTTATTTGTAATCCAGCTTTTCTTTTTCTTTCTCTTTGCAGGTTTTGTGGAAGTATACTACTTTGTCATTATGAGATGTCGTCTCTCGGCACCTCCTTTGTGCAAATTAAATTTGATGACTTGCAGTTTTTTGAAAACTGCGGTGGAGGAAGTTTTGGGAGTGTTTATCGAGCCAAATGGATATCACAGGACAAGGAGGTGGCTGTAAAGAAGCTACTGAAGATAGAGAAAGAGGTAAAGTCTTTTCCTGCTATCAGCAATGGTCTCGGCAGCATTTACATAAGCTTTGTAACCTAGAGTTAGAGGGTCACAGGGCTGCAAGGAACTGGCCAGGCCATTGGGCTGCTCCATGAGGCTGTTTCCCAGTTTCCATTCTGGGAGCCCCATAAATAGAAATTATTGCAGCGTGTGCTTTAGGGTTGAGTTCTACTAGGGGTCATCTGAAATGGGAGGATTTCTTTCCATGGCATGGAAGAGCCAGTTTTCTCTGAGCTGCTCTCCTGGAGGCAGAGGCGGGATTTCAGGCCTTCCCAGGGTTTGTGTTTTTGCTTCCCTAGGTCAGCCAAGAGGGGTCAGTAGAGAGTAATGTGTAGTGGTTTCATCCCCCTGTTGTTTCCTCTCCTTGAATTTGTGGTCCTTGGGAGTTGTCTTTTAAATAATAAAAATAGATTTGCGTTTCTATTGAAGTAAACTTACCAGCTTCTTGGATTTCACCTGTACTTAAATCTCACGTTGATGGGTTTTATGAAGGACTAGTAGGTAGGTGCTAGAGCCAGACAGAGCTGCCCTTCCTTTTAAAACCAGAAAAGGGTCTTGAGTTCTGAGTCTGGAATTCATGCTGGTTCTGGGTGAGCTCTGTTAGATCTTTCATCTTGCCTAGGAATGTGACCCAACAGGCTCCCCACATTCATCCTCAAGGATAAAACTACTTGCAGAACTGATCTTCAGGGGCTCAGCAACATTGATGACCTTTGAGAGTGCTTTTTAAAAATTTAAATACAATTTTTAAAGTGATATACAAAAATTATACATATTTATGGAGTACCATGTAATGTTTCAGTCCACATATACGTTGTATATAGTGCTTAAATCAGATTAAGTATACTCATCTCCTCAAACGTTTATCATTTCTTCATGGTAAAAACATTCAAACTCCTTTTAGCATTTTGAAGTATACAGTATGTTGTCATTATCTGTAGTCATTCTGCTGATAACTGTTAATACCTACCCGCTGGACCTTGTTGTGGTCATTTCTATTTATGTCTGGTTTTAGATAATTATTGTTCTTTTTGGTATCCTTTCAAAGTGAACTTTTCCATAAATATCCTTTCATCTCCCTGAGTGATTTAATTTTTTTCATTAAGTGTTGCCAGTGAACCGAAGCAATTGATTAGAGAAGGAAACCCAAATGGCAGCACTTTGTGGGTTTCCTCTCAGCAGCACTCTGTAATTGTGGATCACCAGTGGTGTTTCCCATTGTTGAAGCCGGCTCAACAGAAGGACTCTGATATCTTTGCCTTGGGGTGCCTGTTGGTTTTAGAAAGTTTTAAAAATCAAGAGCTTTTAAAGCCAATATATGCACAACAGAAAGGTACTAGGTAGAAAAAGTTTGCTCTCTTTTACCCCTACTTTTTGTATATGTGCTGCCAAAGCAAGCACTACCCCTACTTTTTGATAAAAAATTTCAATAGTAGCTAAGTAATAAATAGTAGCTAAGTAATAAACCATTTCTTACTCTGGACTAAGCCCTTAAATTGTAAACTACTGACCCCATTGTATAGATTAGGAAATAGAACTTTGAGAACTTTATTAAGCTGCCTAAGGAGGGGCAAGTGAAATACAGGAGGCCAGACCCTTTGCTCTTTAGTGTTTTTGAAACCTCTAGTTGACCAGATAAGAATAGAAAATAAACCAATTCTATTCACTTATATTAAAAAATGTATAAGTATGACAATATTTTAAGCATTAGGTTATTAGGTTATGCCCTTATATTATTTTTGTATGTGAGAAAGACTTTATAAAACAGGAAATAGATTTTGATAGGTAACATGAATTAAGGCATATTTACTCCCACTCTAAACATGCCATGAAATACTTTTTCTTCTATATTTGAGAGAGCCAGAAAAATGCCATAGAAAAGCACAGGGGTGAATGCAGAAATTAGAAACTGCCATATCCTGCTTCTGTGTAGGAGTTTAACCTGAGTGTGTATAGTTCAGAAATTGAGTTGATTACAATAAACTGTAAGAACTTAACTCATAAACTTGTAGATAGGAAAAACCAAAACCTCCACTTCAGTTTAGGGGCTTGGTTTATTCAGGGGTAGTGGGTGATCAAGAGATCATTATTGATTAGTATGGATCATTATAGCAAAGCACCCCCCCGAACATACTGAATCCACGTGAGTTTAACACTCCAGACACCTTTGGCTGGATGCTGGCAGTTATTGGAAGGGAAGTATGCATTTCTTGTGTGAATTAATTTTATTCTTTGTGAAATATGTTTTGGCTGATAGCTAAGTGTTTTCTAAGGGGTAGGATAAATGTACTAAGTTCTAGATTTTTTTTCTAATTTATTTATTCAATCCCATGTTACTTGATCATTTTTGCCAGTGAGTTCTAGAAGGGCTGGGTCATTTAGTAAAGTATTTATCACTGCATTTGACTTGTTAAGAATGATTTGACATTTGATTATATGCTTTGTGAATTTAGTGAAATGTGGAGAAAATATATATCAAATTTTTAAAATTTGCTTATATTGGTGGGACAAGGAAGACTATTTGTTTCACTTCATTTGCAGATCTCTAGTTTAGTGAGTGTGTGTTATTTTCCTCTTTTATTCAGGTTATATTATTTTTCTAATAAAAAGGATAGAAAAATAGCAATTGCTTAAAATACTTACGAAAACATTATTTAAAGACAACTCTTAAACCTAGAGAAAAATTATAAAAATAATACTATGAACTCTAATTTATCCTTTCCCTAAGTTCACCACTTGGCATTACGGTTTGTTCCATTTGGTTAATAGTATTGGTTTATAAGCAATTATATTTATTTCAGTTTTGCTGAACCATGAGAGTGAATTATAGATGCTATATATCTTCATCCTTATATACTTCATCATTCCTAAAAATATAACCACAGTACAATGAACAAATTCAGCACATTTAATAATGATCCTACTTTGTTGAACATTCTAAATTCAGATTTTCCAGTTATCCCAGTAGCTTTTTGTGTCAGTTTTTTCAACCCATGATCTAGTCTAGGATGACAGATTGCATGTAACTGCTGTATCTGTTTATTCTGATTTAATCTGAAACAGTTTTCCTGCCTTCCTTTGTCTCGTAAGACTTTGACATTTTTGAAGACTCAAGACACTTGTTATGCATAATGTCCCTCCTTTTTGGTTTATCTGATTTTCTCTTTCCCTAGTTTCAGTTTATACAGTTTTGATGGGAATGCTACTTTGGTCTTGTGTCCTTGGTGATCCTTGGCATGACTTAATGGGAATTGCATGATGTTTGTCTGATTATTGGCAGTGTTAATTTTGAACCCTTGGTTAAGAGTTCACTGAACTTCCCCTTAGTAAAATATCTATTTTCCCTTTGTAATTAATAATTAAGCTGCTGGTAGAAACTTTGAAGCAGTATAAATATCTTTCCTCAACACCTCCCTAATTATTTTAGCATCCATCTTGTATGAATCAAATATTATTATACTTTATTGTGTAGAAAGCAAAATATTTTTCCTTTATGAGTTTCCCTCCTTATTCCTCTCTTCCTCTTTTTATTTATTCACCTATTCATTTGTTGAATGTAGACTGTAAGTTGTTTTTTTTTTTGTTTGTTAAGTGTTATAGTCCATTATTGCTGTTACTCATTTTTGTGTTTATCGCAGATGTAGTAAGTGAAAGCTCCTTCAGGTTGGCTGCTATGTCTTTTTGATATATGCCCTTTAATTTTGGATGATTTTCTTGCTTTTTGCTCTAAAAAGATGTTCCAAGCTCTTCTAGCCCCTGTTCCACTCCTAAAGTCAATCATTTTTTTAAGAAGTCTTGAGTCAAGAAGCCCGATTTGGAGTATGATATTTAGGAACCAAGATGTGAGTGCTGTGGTTGCCTTTTTTGACTTAAAAAAGAGCCTTTGTCCTTTTGGCAGAAATGATGATGGAAAAGAAATTTTTTTATGAATGCATTTAACTTAAAATTTAAAATTATACCTCTGGACAGATATATTCTTATATTGCTGGTATTTCTGGAGGAGTGTTTACCAAAAGGTATCACAGAAAAAAAAAAAAAAAAAGAACTTACAGTGTTTATTTTCTCTGAGCCAGGAATTTTAATTCTAGGACTTTATCCTAAGGACATAATCACAGATTTGCAGAAATATGGCTACAATAGGAGTTCATCCCAGATGTGTAATGAAGACTTAGAAACAGCAAATAATGCTATAACTCTATAATAAAATTGATTCCATTTGGAAGAATGTTTAAAGAGCTCAGAAAATGCTCATAATGTATTAGTAAGTGGTGAAAACAAGTTACAAAAGTTTTATATAGGCTGGTAATATAGTTCAATGATAGAGCACTTTGTTAGCATGTACAAAGCCAGGGTTCAAACCCCAGTGGTGGGTGAAAAAGTATGATTCCCACTGGAGTTTGAAAACCACTACATCATGTGTACCTAGCTAATCACATGTCAGACCCCTCCTGTGCACAGGCCCTGCTAGGAAAAATCATGAAGCATAACAAACTAAGGGCTGATTTAGGAATGCAGATTTAGGTAAAACTGCAAATGCCTTCAGATTGCAGCCCTTCCTCACTCTGGTGCTATCCTGAGCTTTCTGTTTTAATTTTCTTACCTGAACTCTCTTTTCTTGTCCCACTCTTCTTCTGTGTTGCTTTCTTATTCCTCTAACCTTGGTCACATTCTTTCCTTCACCTGTAATTCCATTATCTTTTCTGCCTGGGCATATCCTACTCATTCTTCAGCTTTAATTTTTTCCTTTTCTATGAAATATTCTCAGTCCTACAAACATAATTTTTTCTTTTCTCTTCTTAATTTATACCACTGAACATCCAAACTACTAATTTGACATAGGATTATAATTACCTTGTGACTATCATTATTGTAAGAAATTGCCACGTAATGTTTTATGTGAACATGCTGTGTCTTCTCAGCTGAAAAGTGGGGTTAATTATAGTACCTACTCCATAGGGTGGTTGAGAGGGTTAAAT